TCTATCTATCTATCTATCTATCTATCTATCTATCTATCTATCTATCTATCTACATCTATCTATCTATACACAGAGAGAGAGAGAGAGTTGTGTTAAAATGGAAGGAGAATTGCATTCTGATTCATATACTAACAATAGCATAATTTGCAGAGCAAATTAAACATCCAAGTATTTCTATTTAAATTGAATAGTGTTTGATGCCTTAATCACTACACCAAATTGCTCTCGTGTGCTAATGATACTCAACTCCATCTCTAATAGTGCATTTCTCAAGGCCCACTGGATCCAGTGCTTTTGCATCTTTGGTTCTAGAGATGGAGGCACACTATCTGAAACAGAATTTTCACAATCCAGAGGTCCTTCTAGACTCATGTCTCTTTCAAACAAAACAGGTGGCAGCCATAATTGGATGCGGGGGGGGGGGGTGTTGCCCATAACTTTTCGGTTGAACACCAGTTGAAGATTATCTGAAAGCTATAACTGGTCCATAATGTAGTGGCACGGGCAGTTAGAGGTATGTCTTGATACACCCATGTTACACTTCTGCTCCACAAGCTGCACTGGCTCCCAGACTTTGAATGGTTGTCACCTGTTAAGCCCATGGTTCCATGGGTTCAGGTTGTGGGACTGCTTTATCCCATTTTTCTATCAATTAAAAGATGCACAAATTTTAAAAAAATCAAAGTCTTTTCCCTAATTGACACAGATCCTCTTCAACTCATGAACATGAACACAAAAGCCCTATTTAACAGCTTCCAACACAATAAAGTCATCAAAATAACTATTAATGCATATCAGTGGTGGGATTCAAAAAAAAATTTACTACCAGTTCTGTGGGCATAGCTTGCTGGGTGTGGCAGGGGAAGGATACTGTAAAATCTCCAGTCAGCAGTGGTATTTGCCGGTTCTCTGAACTACTCAAAATTTCCACTACCGGTTCTCCAGAACTGGTCAGAACCTGCTGAATTCCACCTCTGATATGTTTGTGTCATGTGCATATGTACAACTACACATATCCCACTCTTCCCCAAAACTCCCCATATAAATTGGATGTGGTGACTTTCCAAGATGCCAAAGCATTGGCCCTGCTAATTTCTTTCACCAGATATATTCTAACCTACCATATACATTTCCCCCCCAAAAATTTTTTTAGTTTTGGATATACAACATGAGATGCCTTAATACACATGCCTTAATACTGTGTCAAACAGAACAGTTACTTCAAGGATCTTTCATGGGGAAAAATCCTCAGACAAAGATTATTACAATATCCATCTATGACTAATGTAAGGTAAAGCTTTTATTGGTTAAAACTGTTTTTTTTCCTACAGGCCATTCATAAAACTATGCTGAATGTTCATGAGAGTGGTACAGAAGCAGCAGCTGTCACTGTCATACAATTTATGCTACGTTCTGCTATAATCAAACCTTCACTTTTTATCACATTTGACAGACCTTTCCTGATGATAAGTATAGCTAAGTCAACGGGCAGCATCATTTTTCTTGGGAGAATTATGAATTTGGCCGAAGAATAAATATTAAAATATGTCATTTTGTTCAGGTAACAATCAAAACACCTCCCTAAAAGCAATGGCTAGGTCCGGACTAACAGAAGACAATCTGCAATTTCATTATAATTGATTGAAGTCCATTTTTTGTGAGGAAAGTAAGAAAACATCTTCAAAATGGTTTTACAATAAACTTGTTGTTAGGTTCTGTCATCTTGTAGGTCACTCTTTTATACCACCATTTGAAAATCTGTAGCTAATTTCTAGAGTTGGGAAAGAGCAATTCTAATTGCCATATCTCAGTACAATATTCCTGGGTTAGGAAATGTTCTGGGGGAAAAGAAACACTGGACAATTCTTCAATGAGCCTTTAAGCATATACAGGTATATGGAATATGACAGAGGTGTACAGTATACATTGTATATAACATGGAAATAAATACATTTTTGGCTTAAGCATGATGAGTCTTTTATATTCAGAAATAAATAGCAGCGGAAAGTGCAACTAAAAATATTTCTGTGTTGCAACTGATCCCTAACCATACAGATTTCTGTTTTAAATATGATGTTATCAGGGCATTAAGGTAGGTAAGTGGTGTGGTGGCCTAGAGGTGAAGTTCTTGCCTCACAATCAAGAGGCTATGAGTTTGATCCTAGGTAGGGGCAGATATTTCTCTTTCTGGGCATGTATATTCTGTTGAATATAACTCCGCATTGGTGACAGAAAGGGCATCCGGTCAGTAAACACTCAGCTTTGTTCAGTTGCCTAGACTCCACCCCACAAGGGATTAGGGGGCCACTAAAAGGAGATGAGGAATGTGCATAAAATGTGTTTTCAATCCAGAACAAAATAGTCTCACAGAAAAGTTTTTGAGGTAACTGTTCCTTTGGAACAAATCTCAAAATAATTTGAATGATCTTTGTTCTTTGTACTCTTGTACCACTGTTTTTCACTATGGGATTGCAAGAGTGGAAAGGTGGATAATCCCTGCTAAATGCTGCTGACAATCCAATACGCAGACAATTTGGCCATAGGCATGATTCTTTTTTTAAAATAAATAAATAAATAAATCCCATATAAAACAATGAGAACATAGTCCCACTGTAATTAACTGCAAGATTTGTTTAAATTAACAGATACACCCCTCTGGAAAATTAGAATCCTTTTGTCAACCCTGAAGATGACATATGTGTAGTCATATTTTATTCTAGCTTTGTCTATTCTCTTTGTAGCTTCCTTTAGGCTTTTTGCAAAGGAATTGAATGGTATTTCAGGCTCGCCACTCTCTAGCTGTTGACAAGCGGGTATAGTATCTCTAGGGGGAACATTATGTCTAGGTGGCATTTTTTCCGTGGGAACAGAGGAGATGCCTGGAGAAAGGTGGAGTTTGGAGTCACAAGACTGATGGATTTTGATTGGAGATTGATTACAGATTGTGATTCTGGGGGGAAGTTTCAACTTTTGCTTTTTACTGGGTGTAATTCCGGAATCTGACCAGAATCGCAATTACACCAAGTTCTTGCCAATTTGATACATTCCTAATAAACAGACTTTAAAGAAAAGATGGATGTCTTGGATTTTACTTCAGGGGGCATATTATGTGGAAGCTTGACACCTTTCCATTTTCTTAAATAAATGCTATAGATTTCTGAATCAACTGATCACAGATCAAAGACCTTTTGATCTGTTTTAAACATTCTGTTTAAACACCTTTTAAACATTCTTTTCAATTATTTTGTCTCCTCTATGAGATTTTGTTAATGCAATGATATTGAAAATCCCTTCCTTCCTTCCTCCATCCATCTATACATCCAACTATCCACCCATCCATCACTAAGTAGACTTTTCTTAAACCATTTCCCCAACATCTGTGACTGAATTGCCCAGAAATATTTCACAAGAAGAGTCCTCCACTCCTCTACTCACAACAGAATACCTTATGCTACCAGTCTTGAAATTTTAGGCTTAGACAACCTAGACCTATGCCACCTTTGGCCCGACCTAAGCATAGTACATAAAATTATCTATTGCAATGTCCTACCCATACTTTAGCTTCAGCCACAACAGTACAAGAGCACACAATAGATATAAAATCAAGGTAAACCTCACCAAATTTGATTGTAGCAAATACGACTTCAGCAACACAGTTGTCAATGTCTGGAATACTCTACCTGACTCTAGTTTCTTCCCCCCAAAACCCAAAAACTTTAACCTTAGACTGTACTACTATCCTAAGAGGTCTGTAGGGGGCGTGCATAAGCGCACCAATATGCCTACCACCCCTGTCCTAATGTTCCTTTTTATTTGTATCCATTTCATGTGTTAAAAATCATTTTTATGCTTATTCCTTGCTTGACAAATAAATTAATAAAATAAATTTTTCATATCTTCTGATTCTGGAGGAAAATGCAGCTTATGACTTGGTCTTGTCAGTTCACCGAATAAAGTATTTTCTTACTCCATTTCCCCAAATATCTGTGACTGGACTGCCCATTGGCAGCATATCCTTACCCTTTATTATGGCTAAATTTTATGTGGAGATCGATGAAATTCTGTCTGTGTTTTAAAGAGAGAAATAACAGTAGTTATTTAATCGTAATTGTAAAATGAGGATTACCTGTAAGGAAGATGAGCTTGATGGAAATATGCCGGGTCTGTTACCTGGGTAAAGGGAGCGGAAACATTGTTTAAACTCTGGGAAACAAAATAATATTCAGAAGTGACTCAGAAGCATAAGATAAGGAACTTCTTTACCTTTTTCAGCCTCTCTTCTTGCATTGATGTCAAGAGGCTTCCCAAAAATAATTTCATATTAGAATTTGATTTCTGGCATTTGTTGCTGAGGAACATTGAATTCAGTGAATAATCCCCGGTTTTTTTTCCTGGCTACAGCTTCTCTTTCAGTTGGTGGCTTTCCCCAGCTAGAAGATCTCACTGCTGATGATTCTCTCCTTCATCCTTAGTTTATATAGTCTGGTATACACAAATTCTTTACCCAAGGTATCCCCTCAAAAATGACTTGTTTCTTACTGTTCAGCTTTACTTTGAGCTTGCCCAAAGAGTTTTTAAACAA